AAAATTGGCTTTTTTTTGTTGTTGAAGTGAAGGAAATGGGCTCGGTTTTCTCAGCGGGATTTACCCCAAAATAAAAAATTTTTAAAATGATGGAAAAAATCGAAAATGCTGACTCAGAAAAAAAAAGTAAATTAAGATTTGTTGAAGGGATGGAAATTGGCTCAGTTTTAATTAATGGGGGTTTTTTTTTAGTTCAGTTTGTTCTTGGTTTTCCCTTAATTTTTCCTTGATTTTCTTTAAACTCTATTTTATTCAATATTTCTCAATTTTCTCCCGGTTTCCTTCTTTAGTCTCAGTTTTACTTCAAATTTTCCTTTTAACTGAATTTTTTCTTGTTTTTCCCTTAATTTTCCCTTGATTTTTTCTAAATTTCTTCCTTTAAGCTAAATTTTATTTAATGTTTCTTATTTTTCCCTCATTTTCCCCTGATTTTTCCTCATTTTTCCCTAAATTTTTCTTCAACTTGCCCCAAATTTTATTACAATTCCTCTCTTTAATCCAGTTTTTATTGAATATTTCTCTTTTTCCTGTCTCAGCTCAGTTTTTCCATATTTTCCCCTGAATTTTCCCAAATTTTTCCCAATTTTTCCCTCATTTCCCCCTGAATTTCCCCTCATTTTTTCCTCAATTTTCCCCAAATTTTCCCTCATTTCCCCCCAATTTTTTCCTCATTTTCCTCTGAATTTTTCTCATTTTTTCCCCAAATTTTCCCCAATTTTCCTCCAATCCCCTTCCAGCCCAGCTTTTATTGAAAATTTCTTTTTTTCGTCCCTCCCAGTTTGAGGCAGGCGTGGGCAGGACCGGCGTGGCTCCAAAATTCCCATTTTTATCCCCAAAAAAATCCAAAATTCCCATTTTTGTCGCCAAAAAAATCCTCTGGAGGCTCCCCAGGGTCCCTCCTCGGCTTCTTCCCGGGAATTTTCCCGGTTTTTCCTCATTCCCAAATTTTGCCATTCCTGAATCTGCTCCTCAAAAAGCTCCAGTGAAAATTTCACCACCAAAATTCCATAAAAAACTAAAATTCCGGTGGTTTTTTGGGAATTTATTTGAAGCAAAAAACAAAAAAAATCCCAAAAATTTGGGAAAATCCTCGATCCCGCCGCTCCCCTCCAATATTCCGAATTTTATCCCAAAAATTCCTCCCAATATTCTGAATTTTATCCCAAAAATGCCTCCAATATTCCGAATTTTTTATCCCAAAAATTCCTCCCAATATTCCGAATTTTATCCCAAAAATTCCTCCAATATTCCATATTTTTTATCCCAAAAATTCCTCCAATATTCTGAATTTTATCCCAAAACAGGAATTTTTGGGGTGTTTCTGTAGAAATCCAGCTCAGCTTTCATTGGAGCCCAGGGATTGTGAATTTTGGGATGAATTTAGGGAAATCCGGGAATTTTTTGGTGATTTTATATGGAATTTTTGAGGAGGAGATGCCTGGAAAACGCAATTCCAGCATGAAATTAAATAAAATTCTGTGGAATTTTCCAACCCCTAGCAGGAGGAAAAGACAAAATCCAATATAAAATCCCAATTTGTCATTTCCCAAGCTGAAGATTTTTCATGGAAAATTGTGATTTTCTGTGTTTTTCAACTCATTTTTTGGGGAAAAAATGTTGACTTTTGGGATCAAAATGGAAAAAAAAAGTGGATTTTTGAGTGTCAGAATCCCAAAAAACGACTCCTGGAATCTTTCTGGAATTACTCATTTTCCTGATTTTTCATCCCCAGAATATCCCAATTTTTGGGGTTTTCCAGGGAATTTCAGCTTCTGGAAGAGGTTTAGAATCCAAATTGGAATTAAATTGGAGTTTTGGGATAGTAAAAAATGGAAATTAAGTTTTAAAAACTCAAAATGGAGGAAAAATTTTATTTAATTGAGGAAAAATCTTTTAAAAATGAGGGAGATTGTCAAAAATTTAGGAAATCTTTCTAGAAATAGGAAAAATGGTTTAAAAATGAGTGAGAATCCTTCAGAATGATGTTGAAATCCTTGAAAATTGAATAAAATCCTTTAAAAGGAGGAAAATGGAATAAAATCCTTTAAAAAGGAGGAAAATGGAATAAAATCCTTTAAAAAGGAGGAAAATTTTTAAAAATCCTTTAAAAGGAGGAAAATGGAATAAAATCCTTTAAAAATGAGGAAAATTGAATAAAATCCTTTAAAAAGGACGAAAATGGAATAAAATCCTTTAAAAGGAGGAAAATGGAATAAAATCCTTCAAAAAGGAGGAAAATTTTTAAAAATCCTTCAAAAAGGAGGAAAAATGGAATAAAATCCTTCAAAATGTGCTTTAAAATGGAGGGAAAATCCTTCAAAATTATGGAAAATTCCTTCCAAAATGAGGAAAAATCCTGGCAAATGGAAGGGAATTCCTTCAAAGTGAGTGAGAACCCCTGGGATGGATGAAGAGGGGAGTGGGGTGGGAATTCCTGGTGGGATTGAGGCTGGAGAAGACCTCAAAAATCGTGGAGTCAACCAAAGATGGTCCAGGAAGATCTCAAGAACTTGGAAAAGTCAGGTTTGAAACGGGAAATGGAGGAAATCCTCTGAGTTTTTCCCCCAAAACCACCTTGGAGATGGTTGAAGTCTCCAGTGGGAATCCGTGGTGGGCTTGAGGTTGGAAAAGACCTCGAAAATCACGGAGTCGACCAGAGATGGTCCAAGAAGATGGAGGAGAACTCCAGAAGCAGCTTTTGAATAAGAAATTGAGGAAATCCTCTGAATTTTCCCCCCAAAACCACCAATTTTTCATCCCAAAACCACCTTGGAGATGGTTGAGATCTCCAGTGGGAACCCACGGTGGAACCTCTACTGAAGGTGACCCAAGATCTCAAGAACCTGAAAACGGCACCTTTTAAACGAGAAAATAAACGAGCAAATCCCATCACTTTTCCCTTAAATCCACCTCGGACAGAATCAGAACTCCAAGAAACTCCCAAAATTCCATGGCCCCTGCCCCACCCCACGTCCAGGAGTTGATTTTCGGCGCGGAACCTCCCGGTCCGTGGGGTCCCCCCGTTCGGGAGCCGCGGCGGCGCCGAGCCCGGCGTCACCCCCGGCCCCCCGCTGTGCTTGCAGGACGTGTTCGAGATGCGCTTTGCCAAGATGCCGGACGAGCCGGAGGAGCCGGCCGTGCCCGCCTCGTCGCCGGTGGTGGTGCCACCTCCCACCAAGGTGGCGCCGCCCTCGTCCAGCGACAGCAGCAGCGACAGCTCCTCGGACAGCGACAGCTCCTCCGACGACTCCGAGGAGGAGCGGGCGCAGCGCTTGGCCGAGCTGCAGGAGCAGGTACGGCCCGAGGCCCCGGCCGGCGGCGCCGGGTGGGCCTGGGGTCGCGGTGGAGGTCCTGGGTGTCCCACGGCCGCCAGCTCCAGGGGCAGCGAAAGCGTTGGGTTTGTCATTATGGAATGCTTGAGTTTGTCGGCCCAAAATCGTTGGGTTTGTCAACTCAAAATCGTTGGGTTTGTCGACCCAAAGTCATTTGGTTTGTCATTTTGGAATCCTTGGGATGTCAGCTCAAAATCGTTGGGTTTGTCAACTCAAAATCGTTGGGTTTATCAACACAAAATGATTGGGTTTGTTGACCCAAAATCGTTGGGTTTGTCAGCCTGGAATTCTTGGGTTTGTTGACCCAAAATCATTGGGTTTGTCAACACAAAATGATTGGGTTTGTCAACCCAAAATCTTTGGGTTTGTCAACCCAAAATTGTTTGGTTTGTCGACCCAAAATCATTGTGTTTCTTAGCTTGAAATCATTGGGTTTGTCAACCCAAAGTCGTTGGGTTTGTTGACCCAGAATCGTTGGGTTTGTCATTCTGGAATCCTTGGGATGTCAGCTCAAAATCGTTGGGTTTGTTGACCCAAAATCGTTCGGTTTGTCAACTCAAAATCGTTGGGTTTGTTGACCCAAAATCGTTGGGTTTGTTCACCCAAAATCGTTGGGTTTGTTCACCCAAAATTGTTGGGTTTGTTGACCTAAACCATTGGGTTTCTCAGCTCAAAATCGTTGGGTTTGTCGACCCAAAATCGTTGGGTTTGTTCACCCAAAATCGTTGGGTTTGTTCACCCAAAATTGTTGGGTTTGTTGACCTAAACCATTGGGTTTGTTGACCCACAATCATTGGGTTTGTTGACCTAAATTGTTGGGTTTGTCAACTGGAATTGTTTGATTTGTCGATCTGAATTTCTTGGGTTTTTTGACCCAAAATTGTTGGAATTGTTGGGTTTGTTGACCTGGGATTGTTGGGTTTGTTGACCCAGGATTGTTGGGTTTGTCACTCCAAAATCGTTTGGGTTATCTGAGATTTTTGAGTTGACCCAAAATTGTTGGGTTGGTTGACCCAAGATTGTTGGGTTGACACAAGATTGTTGGGTTTAACCCAAAATTGTTGGGTTTGTTGACCCAGGATTGTTGAGTTTGTCGCTCCAAAATCGTTGGGTTTATATAAAATTTTTGAGTTGACCCAAAATTGTTGGGTTGGTTGACCCAAGGTTGTCGGGTTGAGCCAGAATGGTTCTGTTTGACCCAAAATTGTTGGGTTGGTTGCTCCAAAACCGTTGGGTACGTTGACCTAAAGTTGCGCTGGGTTGACTCAAAACCACTTGGGTTGGTTGACCCAAAGTGGTTGGTTTGACCTGAAATTGTTGGGTTTGTTGACCTAAAATCCCTGGTTGGATTGGTTGACCCAAAACCATTGGTTTGACCCAAATTCCTCGGGTTTGTTGACCCAAAATCCGTGAGTTTGTTGGCCTGAAAGTCTTGGGTTGACCCAAAACCGTTGGGTTTGTTGGCCCAAAATGAGTGACCAGGTGGGGTCATGGGTTGGGTTTGGTGACCCTGGAGGTCTCCATGGAACCGTTGGAGGTGACAGGGACCAGGTGAGGTCAGTCATGGGTTGGGTTTGATGACCCTGGAGGTTTCCATGGAACCATTGGAGGTGACAGGGACCAGGTGAGGTCAGTCATGGGTTGGGTTTGATGACCCTGGAGGTGTCCATGGAACCATTGGAGGTGACAGTGACTGAGTGGGGTCAGTCATGGGTTGGGTTTCATGACCTTGGAAGTGTCCATGGATCTCCTGACCATTGCTCTGGGGTGACCGGGGTGGGTTGGTGACTCCAGGTCACCCTCGATGACCCTGGAGGTGTCCATGGATCTCCTGGGGTGACCAGGGTGGGTTGGTCACTCCAGGTCACCCTCGATGACCCTGGAGGTGTCCATGGATCTCCTGGGGTGACCAGGGTGGGTTGGTCACTCCAGGTCACCCTCAATGACCCTGGAGGTGTCCATGGATCTCCTGGGGTGACCAGGGTGGGTTGGTGACTCCAGGTCACCCTCAATGACCTCAGAGGTGTCCATGGATCTCCTGGGGTGACCGGGCTGGGTTGGTGACTCCAGGTCACCCTC